AATAAAATTCCTTCATGTTTGTAAAAAGAAAATGATTTTTCATAAGTAAAGTGGAATGTAAAAATAAGAAATGTAAGAAAATGTATTTTTTAATGTATGTAGATTTATTATTTAATGTATTTGTTGAGATATAAATAATAAAAGCTCACTATGAAAGAAAATTATTCCAAATTTATAAAAAGCGAAAATACAAATAGTATTTTGAACAAAATTTGTAAATGAAAATTTACAAAAAAACACATACACAGAGGTTAACATTTTTACATTACCTTATTTTGTAACAAAGTAAAACAATATTGAACAAATTTATTAATGAAAAAATGGAGAGATAAAGAAAAATTAAATATTTTTATATTTATTTAGAGATGTTTAGTTAAAAAAACATTTTATTTTGATAAATGAAAAATTAACAAATTAAATGATTTAAAATTTATTTAATTTGCATAAAATTTTTCTTAGTTAGCAAAACCACATACAAAGAAATTTTAAAGAAAAATTACACTAGTTTACAAACAATTTAAAAATTAATTTTCATGAACCTTTAAAAACAAAGCTTTGGGTTTTTTCCTATAGTAAAACAAAGAAACTCAGAAATTGAGGATCGATTTTTTCTCTACAAATACCACAAAATCTGAAAAGCGTGCTCAGACTACTAAATCTACTCGATGTTAATTAACTAGCGTATACGTTAACCCTGTTCACAAATCCAGTGGATTATTTTATTTTCACCTATACGCTATGGAATATAAATTTGACATCGAGTGGATTTCGTTAATTTGAACGCACTTGACCGAAAATTTATATTTCCAAAATGTTTTGTAAACTAGTGTAATTTTTATTAAATATACAAATAAGAATGCCTTTTATACATTATTTAAAATTCTAGTTAAGTTTAATAAAAAATTAAAAAAAAAACAAAGCAAAAACAAACCCACTTTGATACAAATTCAGCGTAGGCGTAAAGCTATTGTTACGCCAAATAATGTCATACGCCGTCGCCAACAGTGCATCGCAACTTTATGACAGTGCAATTTCAAGCAACTTTATGACACTTTTTTTCAAAATTTGGTGAATTTTTTATAATAAACGTAATTCTATGAGGTACAAAAAGTCACCATATTTTAAAAAAGTGTCATTAAATGCACAGTTGCTTTTTTACTTGAAATTGGAAAGCGGTCAAAATGACCGCCTTCGGCGTTCTAGTGTTAATTTATTTTTAATATTAAAATACTAAATGTAATATTAAAATATTAAATTAATTTATTTGATGTTTAATATTAAACTATTAAATTAATTTCTTCTTCTTCTCTTACAAAATTTGTTATTTTTTCGTAATGAAAGAAAGAATGAAACCAACAAAACCACAAAAAAAAACATTTAAAAAAGCAAAACAAGTTAACATTACATGATATAAGTAGTTAGTAATTTAAAGAAACCAAAAAACAACAAGAAAACATAAAATTTTAATAAATATAGAAAACAAAAAAATAACAACAAGAAAAATTTCCCGCAGAAATAATAAATAAATGTGAAATATATAAAAATGTTAAGTTAATTTAAAATTTAAGATCATGTCGGACACCTAATAGGCAATATTGTCTCGTACATACATACAAAACATGACATAAAAAAACAAATTTATTTTTATTATTATATTCGGATATATATAATGTATATGTGTTCTGTACAAAGCAACAACAACAAAAAGTGAAAAAAGAAACCAAATACACAAAACAAAATACAAATCTCATGATCCACAACATGACATTTTTTTAAACAAAAAAAGAAAATAAGTTTTTCATATATTAACTAAAAAAGAAACAAAACAATTAAAAAACCTTAAGTTTAACAATAAAACCTCATAAACATTAAATTAAACAAAATATTAAATTAAACGACTAATTGAGTAAAACAACCCAACAAAAAAATCATGCAAACAAAAACCCCAAATTTAAATTATAGCTATACAATTTAATAATATAAAAAATATTAAAATAAAAAAACAACTAATAATTGACAAACAACCATCATTAAACAATTAATGTAAATCATTGTTCCAATTGACAAACTAAGAAATTCAAATCCAAAAGAATTGATAAACAAAATGTCTCTTTTATTAAAAACAAAACCAAAAGAACCCAACCAAATTAAAAGCAAACTAAACTAAAGAAAATAAAATAAATTATAATTGATGGTAACTAAATTTAATAAAATTAAAAAAAAAAACTAATTTAAAACAAAAACAAATAATGAATTGTTGTGGTAGATACTGAGCAAAAATTTAAGAAAAAACAATGCAATAAATGTATACAAAAAATTTAAAAAAATATGTATTGTCGTGAACTGTGTTTTATTTTGAAAGGAGGAAGGACTACATATGCTTATAAGAGGTAGTCCATTTAGCGCAGCTGATGACTTGATTAACTGCCAAAGTGCGTAATTTCTACTTGAATTTGACGTGCAATGTTGCCAATCATGTGAAATATTATATGGAAAAATTTGACAGACAAATGTTTTTGTTTTGATACGTCACCTTATTATTGCATCATGGTTGGAACCATGGAAATCAAAAGAAAAATTATAAAGATATAAAGATTGACAAAGACGAAGTTCTACTATCCTTTGGCGTCATTTCACTATTTCCTAATATACCTATGAATTTAGCATTGCGAACAATCACGGTAAAATGGAACATAATTAAGGAATGCACATCGAAATATTTACTCTTTGTATAAAGACTCAAAATATTTCATATATGAGGACAAGGTGTACGATCAGCGAAAAAGTCTTCCAATGGGCTCTGCAGCGTCACCGATTATTGCAGATATATTAATGGAGGAGTTATTTGACAAATAAACTAAAATTAGTTACAGAATATGTGGACGATATACTTTGCATAGTGAAAAGAACAGAGATGGACAATACATACAGAACAGAGATTGATAATACTCCTTTGACAAACATGTGCAATATACGCATGAAACCCAAAAATTGCCTTATCTTGACGCCATAATAATCCGACAAGAAAAAAACTAGCAATAGATTGACACTAGAAGCCCACCGCATCTGGACGATTGATAAACGTTTACCTTAACCATCCTAGACGAATAAAAATAAATACTGCCGGAAACTTCATCAACAGAGTACTTAATATAAGCGACGAACAATTCCACCAAAAGAACAAAGGATACGCAATATACTGAGGAAAAATGATTTCACACAGAGAACTATTGACGAACTACTAAAAACATCCAAGCACAAGAATGAAACGAAGAAAACAGTGGGAAAATCATACAAAACATTGAATTATATACGTGGACTGTCTGAGAGATTGCGTAATTTGAATATTTATGACAAGAATAATTATCAATTAGCCTTAAAATCTTAGAATACGTCAATTGCCTGTTCAGCAAAACCAAATCAAAAATTAAAAAGGAAGACAAGTCGTCTGCTTCAGTAATTTTTTAATAGCAAATCTAGTAAAGGGGAACATTTCAAAATCGCTCTCAGAGTACAAAATAATTTGAAAAGTTCGGGAACGCACATCTAGTAAATATGCCAAAATTAGATGACAATACCTTAAAATCAACATAACAGCCAATCAGAATCAGAAGTAGGCATTCATTTTTACTCGGACAAATTTCTCGAGTAAAAAGTTAACAAAGAGGACGCCATTTTGTTTTGTGCTCTCTTAAATTTGGTTTTGGAGTAAAAACTTGTAAAATTAGTAGATTCTTTTAGGTTCTGGAACGGAACTAATATAAAATGTAATGGAGACAAATCCAACGTATGCCAAAAGGTATATATTGGTACAAAAAAAAAACTAAACTTAAGACGAGACTTTCTGCACATAAGTCAGATCAAAACTCAGACAAACCTTTAGAGCAATAAACTGGACATACGCCGAATTTTAAAAACGTAGACATATTGACACAAGAAAATAATTATATACGACGATTCACCCTAGAAATGTTAAACATAATAAATGATCTAAGTTTCGCAATGAAAAGGAAAGCCTGGAGGAACAATTGTAGGTGTTTGGATTAATTATCCATCGCAACAACAAAAAGATCTGCTTTGAAAAGGACTGTTTCTAGAATGAAGACAATTGTCGAAATTTGACTTTAATACGCATATGCAAGGTTCGCATCAGGACTAAATAAACATAAGTTATCAACATACGACCTTTGCCTGATGACCCGCTTAACCAACGGCGAAACGCGTAGCATAATGGTGGGTACGTAGGTTCTTCTCTTGGCTTTCCTTTTCATTGCAAAACTTAGATCATTAAGCTCAACTCGAAAGAGTATAAACTGTCACTTAAAAATCACTGCCCTTACAAGGCAAAATTCAAATAACAAAAAAATAATAAATGTACCTAACAATAAGAGAGTAAATTATAAGACTGACACGGTTCACTGTGCACATATTTACAGAAACATAGTTCATAAGCACAGACGAAGAGAAACTTAGTTTAGCATAGACGTTGATACAAATCGGCTGCTTTTCTTATAACCGTAAGATTTGTGTGATATAATTAAGTTTATATTTCATTAAATACTTGTATTGTTGTAGTATAACAAAAATTCACGATAATCAAACTGAAATAAATAAATAATTTTAGAATTTTTTTCTGAATATTTTGAAACCATATTTCACACATTGCGGTTCTTTTAGCAATGGGAAAATAAAGCACACACAATAAAGGCATCGTTTTTATATAATAGAAACATATATAATGCTCTCTTTTACTTTTATTTTTCCTTTTTTTATATTTTTATATATTATTATTTATATATAATTATATATTTTTATATATTATTTTTCAAATTATTAATTTACGCCTTAGTTTTTCTAACGATTTTACGTCATACGCTGCCAGTATGAGAAAGGCAATGTTCATGTAAACACAACACTGCGCTACCAATACAACCATGTGTTTAACGGTGTAACAACGCCCTTTTGGCTTGATGACGAAAAACGAAATGCAGACTCGTCCATTTAATTATCGCTCCCAGTGGCATCCACAACGTAAGTAGTTGTCTCTTAGTAAAGTTATACATAAAATGGCGGCAGCGGTTTTCTCCATAACATGAAATTGTTGAAAGAAACAACAATGAAAACGAAAAGAAGTGGAAAATGTAAATATCCCAATAAGTTCCTTATATATTACAAACATAAAGTAATATGTGTTCACGTGCTTCCCCAATAATGCCAACACCCTCAATAGAGACCTTAACACAACTCACACAAAATGGTGCGACACGTGTTAAATTGCTGCTGCTAATTTGAGGTTATGTTTTTTTGGAGTAAAATTTTCTAATATATTTTTTTTATTTCTTTTCCAGGTTCCCGTAACTCTTAATACGTTAAAATGTCGGGAGGCTTAGATATTTTGTCCCTCAAAGAGGAAGATGTTACCAAAATGTTGGTAGCCACCACCCATTTGGGCTCGGAAAACGTCAACTTCCAAATGGAACAATATGTTTACAAGCGCCGCTCCGATGGTGTTCACATCATCAACTTGGGCAAGACCTGGGAAAAATTGGTCTTGGCTGCTCGTGCCATCGCCGCTATTGAGCATCCCGCTGATGTAAGTATACCACCACTATCCAAAAAGATGTCAAAAGCAAACATCCAAAATATTGAAACACAAATTTTACATGATGTTTAATTCACAATCTTTCGGGGCTGAAATTCAATGATGCCAACTTCACAACTGATTAAAATTTGTTAACAACACCTTATTATATAGATATATTTTTCTTTTGAAGTAACATCTTCTAATGCATTTCTTTGTTGCATTGCAGGTTTTCGTCATCTCTTCTCGCCCCATTGGTCAACGTGCTGTATTGAAGTTCGCCAAATACACCGACACCACCCCAATTGCTGGCCGTTTCACTCCTGGTGCCTTCACCAATCAAATCCAACCAGCTTTCCGTGAACCCCGTTTGTTGGTCGTCACCGACCCCAACACCGATCACCAACCCATCATGGAAGCTTCTTATGCCAACATCCCCGTTATTGCCTTCGTCAATACCGATTCTCCTCTCCGTTATATCGATATTGCCATTCCATGCAATAACAAGTCTGCCCACTCCATCGGTTTGATGTTGTGGTTCTTGTCACGTGAAGTTCTCCGTCTCCGCGGTACCATCTCCCGCAGCGTTGAATGGCCCGTCGTTGTCGATTTGTTCTTCTACCGTGATCCCGAGGAAGCCGAAAAGGAAGAAATCGCCAGCAAGGAATTGTTGCCCGCCGCCAAGGTTGATGAAGTTCTTGACCACCCTGTCGAAGAAGCTTCCAACTGGGCTGAAGAGGTTGTTACCGATGCTGTAGCACCCGCCGTTGTTGCCGGCGCTGAAGACTGGAATGACGATACCGTCAAGTCCTCCTGGGGAAATGATGCCAACTTCTAAATGAAAGCATTTTAGAAGGATTGAATATGATGATTTGACCGAAATAAAAGATGTGACATTTTTTTATTTCTACAAAACTAAATACAACACGTGAATTTTATTTTTGGTTGGGGGGATGGAATGGGGAAGATTTAAAGATGGCGGCAGTAAGGTTCCTAACACGTGTTTTTGTTAATGCGTTTAAAATGGATTTTGACTGCAGTAAAGGTTTTTCAAATAGGAAGAGGAATATTAAATATAACAACTAGAACGGACATTGAAATATGTATCACTAGAAAAAATACGAAAATCATTAGCCACAGTACGTCTGCAATAACTCTCTTCGAATATAATTTCAAAGGAGAATAGGCCTTTTTATAGTATTGTATTATAAATTAGGGAAATAGTTTTTTCAGGGATTAGGAATAGTAGGGTTTTTTAAACATCGTATTAAATTAGAATAAATAAATGAAACAGTACTGAAAATTTCAAGCAAGTCCCACAATTAATTACAGAGTCATAGCCATTTAAAGTAATCCTTGTATCAAAATATAGCAGCTACACGATTCTGTTTGCCTATTACCTCAAATGGACAAAATTAAGGAATTGCATTTGACAAAAGATCGAATGCATTTATGTTGCCACATCGTTCGCTTTGTGTTAATTGGTCGTCAGGATAATATTTTGCATACTTTCAGGCGCACCATTTCAATAGATATACATTTAAAATATTAAAGCAGCGAGTTTTAAATGTAACGCCTAAAAGTATGCTCATAATTTGTAAATTAACATCAATCACACAAAGCAAACGATGTGGCACCACAGATACAATCATCTGTATTTTGACAAATGCAATTTCTTCACTTTTCCCATTTGTGGTAATAGGCAAACAGAATCGTGTAGCCGCTATATTTTGACACAAGGCCAACTTCAAATGGTTATAACTCAGTAATGAATGGATATATTAGCATGGAATTTTCACTATGGGTTGGGGGAAATTTTGCAGTTTGTGTGTGCATCAATAAAGTAGACGTTTTAGAAATGCGAACGTGGAAAATTGAGGAAATTCGACAAATTCTTGTATTGGATTTAATTTAATGGAAATTAATTTATTCAAAGAAAGGAAAGTTATATTAGATTGACATTGTGAAGTTAAAGTATGTTTCAGACAGATTATAGGCGGTGGAACTGCAATTTCGATCAAAATGTTCTTTAGCCATGAATCACTTTTCTCACTCATTGGATATGTTATTCAACAAAATTGTTGTATTTGTGGGTTCTGGGGACTTTCAAGTAATTGAGGAGAGGCCATTTACATCCAGAAAGTGCCAATCTTTGGTCCGCAGGCTTGATTGAACACACCTTGGTACTGGGTATTATATCATTGTGCATATGTTCGGGACAGGCAAAAAGAAACGAGATAGACACATTGTACCTTTTGAGAATATGCCTAGAATCACTTTCTGAGTCGATTTATGCATGACCGTCCGTCTGTCTATGGTAAATTATGAACAAAGTGGAGGTCGCATTTATTATCTAAATTGGATGAAATTTGGCATAGCTCATTTTTTTGGGCTAAGAACGAACTCTATTGAAATTGAGAAAAATTGGTTGTGATTTAGATATAGCTCCCGTATATATTTTCGTGCGATTTTATGTAAATGGTTCTCCAAAGACCCGATGATATGCCGATTGGCCCAAAATGTTGTAAAACGTACTAAAATTAGTATAATAAAACGTGTGTCAACTTTTTTAAATAGATTCCGATATAACTCCCATATATATTTTCGTCCGATTTTAAGTAAATGGTGCACCAAAGACCCGACTGCCACATAATTTAGTGAAAAGTAATAATTTTAGCATAACTTAACGTGTTAAACGTAAACATTTTAAGTAAACTTTTCTCTGAAGACCTGAGGTTAGGCCGATAGGCCCAAGATGTTGCAATACATACTAAAGTTAGTATAACCAAATGTGTCTTTTTTGAAATAGGTTCAGTTTTCGATATAACTCCCATATATATTTTCGTCCGATTTTAAATACACATGTTCCCGTCCGACTTCACTACTTTCTACTGGTTTTGTCTGAAATTGAAGAATGCGACAAAATGTGATTTCAATAAGACGGTGCCACACCTCACACTACTCAAGCGAATATGGCTTATTGCAAGAGACATTTCCTGGCCGCGTAATTTCTATGACGCTATTAAACCTTTTTATGTGGCTAAGCGAAAGACCGTGTTTATGCAGATAAACCTTCAAATATTGACCACATAAAAAAACATTCGTCAAGTTATGACTAAGATACCGCCCAATATGTGTCAAAAAGTTCTCGATAATTAACTCAAAAAAATCATGTTCTTGCATGTAAAAAAAATGTAAAATTAAATAAAAAATTAATTTCTAAAAAGTGGAAAATCGTTCGGGATTTAAGGGAGATTATAGAATCATTTTCAAAATAGCAAGTCTTCTCCAATAGTTTAACATGAAAATGTTATTTTTACGTTTCATTAAAAAAGAAGGGTAGTTGGGAGTCTAATTTCATATACAGTGAAATCTCGATAATGTGAACTAATTAATGTCTGGGTAGTTCAGATTTTCGAATTTGTTCAAATTTTCGATTCGACCACCTAATTACCGCGAATTCCCCGATTTTTTCAATACTTTAATGTCAGTTCACATTATCGAGAGTTCACTGTAGTTAGCTTAAGTGGTCCGCGGCGCGGTTCCGCTTTTGGTATCCGATTTTTGACCGAATTTTTTATTAGTAGTAGATTCAAAATGCCAATTTAAGAAAAATTGGTGGTTATTTCAAATATTTTTTATTTACAATATATTAATTCAATAATATAATTTCCATATAATATAATTGTATATAAATTCGATTAATATAATTTTTTTGTAAATCATTTAAAATTTTAGAATTTTGGGTTTCCTTGTCCATATTTTTAAAATGTTTTTTGTTTTTATTTTATAAAATAATGCTGATTGTATGTATAATGTGCAACAGTCTTACCTGCAAGGTCTATATATAAATTCCAAGAAAATAAAAAAAAACAGAAGAATTAAAATGTTGAATAATGAAATAAATTGATCTCAAAAATACAAATGCATCGGCAAGTATATCACGAAAAAAGAGTGTGGGCTTCATCAAAACTACACAAATCTGAAATTAGTGCCACTTTTTTAAGAGTCGAATGTAAAAGGTTCTAGATCAGGAAAATTGTCTTTAAAAATTACAAAAATTATTATATTGTAACACAGTTAAGAATGTTATTAAAAACTGAAAATAAAGATTGTTTTGGAGCAAAAGTGATTTTTTTGAGGATGTTCATTTCATATAATTTCTGTCGATTATACAAAATTTGGGAATTTGAAATTCCTCTTCAAACTGCCCAAAAATTATATAACATATAAAAATCAGTTTGAATTTGGATATAAAAATAAGAAATTGTTCTTTTTACGTTAATTTGAATATTTAACAATATTTCCAACAACGTTTAATTTTAAGGTGTTGATGTCAATAGAAAAAATATTGTACATCAAATTTCAATATAGGTCTCCGTCCAAGAAATTTCTCTAGCTCTACTATATAATATATGAAAATAAGTTTAAATTAGAAAATATAACAAAAAGAAATTGTTCTTTTTTATGTTAATTTAAATTTTTAACAATATTTCCACCCAAAATCTAATTTTTGAGAGTTGAAGTCCGTCAAAGTATTAGCAAAAATTTTCCACATTTTCGAGTACACCCCATATAAGGATACTGCGCAATCTGCGGTATTTTTATGGTATCAACTGAATTTTTGTTTCTATGAGGACACAAAATCTCCAGGCAGGAGATGTTAAAAGTGTGGCTCTGGCACATACATGTTCATTGAAGGTCATAGTCATATTTTTCAAACTATGTTGCTGTAATTTGGTTATCAGGTTCTCAGTAAATACAAATTTCTCCATATAAATTAATATCTTATGTAGCCCCCAAGATATTTTTAAGGCCATATTTCCATTTGCAGTATTTGGCTTTCAGGTTATTCCATCGAAGTGACTGTAATTTGGTTTCTCCAAGGATAAACAGAAATCTAGAGGTAGAAATTTTTAAAGTTGGTCCCAGTTACAAATCAGACCCTATTCCAGAAAATTAGAAGTCCAAGCCATTACAATTAAACATTTCTGAGAATTTAGAATTACTCTTGCCTATCTCTACATAAAAATTAAGATCTAACATAAAAATATGTATCTCCTTTTATGTTACAGTTTATATTGTCAACAAATCTTTCTACAGACAAACTCTAGTGTTTTTTATCGGGTGTAAACAAAAAACGAAAGTGAAAGAAAAATAGACAATTTCAAAATGTTCTTAACAGGGACAAACATCAAGTATATTACACAGATTCAAAATAAAATCGAACAAAAACTATATACACAATTATTATTCAATATGTATAATAGTTGTATTTGTGTTTGCAAAAAAATGTTTATTATAATAGTAATATTGTTATAAAAACATTAAATAATTAACTGTTATACACATAAATTAATAATATATAAAATAATAATAATAAGATGTTTCAGTTTTTTTAGTAAAAAGAAGAGGAGAGTGTGTATGTATGTTGTGTGTGGGTAGGGTGGGGGTATAAAAAAAGAAAAACAAGAGCGCATATTTGTTTTGTATTGTTAAGAATTATCGTAATAGTAAAGGTTATCTAAAAAAGGACAAATACACATTATTTGTAATTAGGAGATAGAGAAAAGTAGTTAATTTGTGATTTGTTTAAAAGTTAAGGAGGGGAGGGTGTTCGGGGGAAATTATAATAATATTAATTGCAAAATACTTTATCATTTTGTGTGTGTGGTCGTTTCTTGCTAATGCTTTTTACACGGTTAATGACGACGAAAGAATTCAACTTTCTTTTTTTATATAATAATATCTAGTTTAAGATTTTAACATTTTTAGAGTGTGTGTGTGTTGCATTTCAAATGTATCAAAATTAATAAAAATAAAATAATAATAAACGAATAATATCTTAGTGTCTAAAGGGATTTGGTCGTGCTTTAAATGTAGCAGCTTTTCTTAGTTCACGTATGCGCTCCTCTTCACGCCTTTTGCGTTCTTCTTCCTCCTGAAAATATAAAAAAATAGAAAGGACATACAAATTAGTTACATTTCACAATTGATTTACATTGTTGCTGGTTAATAATAAAAAATATATGAGATAAAGATTAGTTTTTTATTTTTGTTGTGTTGCGGAGGATGCAAATTTAAGATAGATAACAATAATGACTTATGGAGATTATAAATGTATTTTAAGAATTTTACACAAGGTGACACCATTAGTCATAGTTGGGAAAATAAAATTGTCATTAAAGCGTTGATATGACTCTCAAAACTTAATTTTAGGATGTTGGTGTCAAGAGAAAAAATATTCTCCGTCAAATTTCATTATAAGTCACCGACCAAGAGATTTCTCTAGCTCTACTATATAACATATAAAAATCAGTTTAAATTTGGATATTAAAATAAGAGATTGTTTTTTAGGTTAATTTTTATTTCTAATAATATTTCCCCCAAAACGTAATATAAGAGAGTTGGAGTCAAAGGAAAAATTATTGTGCGTCAAATTTCAATACCAAGAGATTTCTCTAGTTCTACTATGTAACATATAAAAATCTGTTTAAATTGGGATATATTAAAAAAATAAATTGTTGTTTAAGGTTAATTTAAATATTTAGCAATATTTTCCCCCAAAACATAATATTAGAGTGTAAGATTCAAAGGAAAAATTATTCTCCGTCAAATTTCACTATGGGTCACCGACCGACCAAGAGATTTCTCTAGTTCTACTACATAACATATACAAATCAGTTAAAATTTGAAAATATATTTAAATATAAAAATATTTTTAGGTTAATTTGAATTTTAACAATATTTCCACTAAAACCTAATTTTTGAGGTTTGTAGTCAAAGGAAAAATTATTCTCCGTCAAATTTCAATATGAGTCACCTACCAAGAAAAGTCTCTAGTTCTATTATATAACATATAAAAATATATTTACATTTGGATATAAAAAATAAGAAACTGTTCTTTTTAGGTTAATTTTTGAACAATATTTCCATCAAAACCTAATTTTTGAGATTTGGAATCAAAAGAAAAATTATTCTCCATCAAATTTCAATATGGGTCACTGACTCGTATCGAATATAAACTCGTGAATACGATGTCTACAATTAATATTTCCAAATATCTCGACTTCCATTCGGAAGCCTATTCAAAAATAGTTTTAATGTTTGTTTTTCTTTTAAAGTTATAAAAATCTGAAAAATTATACATAAATAATATTTTCCATGTTGTATTTCCGCAAGCAGCAAATTCTACAACATATAAAATTTTAGACAGACAGACAATTTAAAATGTCAACAACATAAGAAATGTGTGTCGCACACACATATTTCTATTCTTATATACTCCCACATAGAAAAAATACAACAAAGATATTAATTAAATACAACACATAACTAATTTCCATTCAAAGACAAACATATGGGTAGGTAGGTTGGTAAGGTATTCAATATAAGCTAATGAGAACAACAACGTAAACTGAAAAGGGACACACTTTTCAAACATTTTTTTCTCTCAATCTATAAACGTGAAAAAATTCCAACACAAATATGAACAAAACAAAAAATGCAAGACACCAGCACAAGGTGGCAAAGAAGTAAAAGCAATTGGTCAAACACGAAGAGGTGCACACAAGAAGCTTTTGGTGTCACACAAACAGAGAGACACAGATACTGGAAACAAATAAAAATAATTATAAAGTATTATATGCAATATGCCAAAGAGAGATACATTATATAGGTGGTACACGCCGAAAAAAACGAAGTGGAATGTTATAAACAACTTATTCTGAAACTAGGGGTGTGTCTAATTTGTCGAAGGAAAAAGATCTTCGCGAAGGTCAGAAGAAGACTGTATGATATATGACTGGAGAATAATGTTTTCTTCAAAAAACAACTGAAAACGGCCTAGCCCAAAATTTTTAAATCCTCCTCTCCTCCTATATACAGGGTGAGATGAAAAAACTGCAACCAACTTCAGACTGCTGTCATTTCTAAGCCACTCGTCCGACAGCTGTTAAAATTATTACAGTGACAGCTTATTATATTGTTTACAAGCGTACAAAAACATTTTGGAGGGAATTTTCCACAAAAAAAGTTATTCGTGATGAAATTCAAGCGAGATAGTGTGATTTCGTTAGAGCACTGTAGCATTTAAATCGCATCGCTCGTTACCGTGTTACTGGTAGCGTAGCCCGACGCCAAGGAAGTGGACGGAAGAAAACAGCAACATCAACTCCCTCATCGCAGTGTCCGAAAAATGGCCCGTGAGCTGAACATATCGAAATATTCCATTGGGGAAATATTGAAAAATGAGCTCGGAGTAAAGCAATTGAAGTGCAAGAACTTACACCGCAACAGAAAGAAAATGGACTCAAAAGAGCTAGAGAGATGCTTCGCTTGAAAAACGTTCGTTGTCCAGCAGTTTGTAAACAAATAAAATTATCGTGTTTACTTGGCAAAAAGGGCCGGCTGAAAATGTACACCTTCGGTTGGCCACCAGAACTCAAGCGCCGGTCATAGTGATGGTGTGGGCCTCCATAACAGCCGATGGTCGCTCTCCGCTCGTATTAATCGACCGTGGCATCAGAATAAATGCCGAATATTATCGCGAAAATATTCTGACGTGTATATTAAAGCCTAGGGCACGCAAACATTATGGCCGCAGACCTTGGACATCCCAACAGGACTCAACACCATCGCATTCAGCAAGCGCCACCCATGTTAAAATTGTCAGCGCACAATGGCCACCAAAATGTCCGGATACCAATCCGTTGGACAATTGTGTCTGGAGTATTTTGGAAAGCAAGGTAGGCACTACCTTTCTTGCTTCGCCGGGAATGGGCCAAAATACCGCAGACCAATTCGAACAAATCTAAACTTATTCTAAACTTTTATGCAATTTTCCGACATTTTATGCTTTCATTCAATAAAATTAAAAAATGTAAACATTATGGCGTTTGACTTTGTTGCAGTTTTTTTTATCTCACCCTGGATTCAGTCGTATTGAATTGATATCACAATTCACAGTGGATTTGTTCGCTCTTCACTTTAAAGTTGTTCTAGACGTTTTATCGGATTTTATGTTGATCAAATATATAATATTGACCCTTTTTGTAGGATGTATCAGAGGAGAGGGCAGACGGGTCCCACCTTAGGACTTGCTATAGGCTTGGTAAAGGTAAAAGGTTGTGCAAAGTTGGGTTCAAATCGGACATTCCATTTGCAATATATTGGATTCATAAATCTCAAAAATGTAGACCATTTGTGTGGGAGGCACCAGAAGGAGTGGAGCAATGGATCCCATCTTCGGACTTGATCTAGGGTTGGTAAAGACAATAGGTTGTGCAAAGTTTGGTTCATATCGGACATTCCTATCGCCTGATATTGGATTTATAAATATTGAAAATTTCGATCATTTGTGGGGGAGGTACCAGATGGAGTGGACCATAGGGTACCATCTTCAAACTTGGCCTAGGATTGGAAAAAATAATAGGTTGTACAAAGATTCGTTAAAATCGGATAGTCCGTTTGCATGTTATTATAACATCAAACCGGCTGAGGGTAAACAAAGTTTGGATGAAATCGGTTACTCCCTTAGAGCGTTATCGTCTGCACCAACCGGCCAGAAAGACAGACAGACGTTTGAAAATCGACTCCTAATTGTGTGAAACTTATTTGTACCAAAGAAATATGAAATAATATTTCGACGAGGAACATTTTTGTCGCATGAGGGTATAAATGTCATAAATTCAGTGTTCTGCTGTATTTTTGATCTGACCCAAAACTTGCAAGAATATAATTTTTTCTGAATTTCCAATCCTTATAAATGGAGATTCAAATTCTTCTTCTATTATTTTTTCTTCAGTGTATCCTTATGCATGTTGCTGATGTGTGATAGGCAAACACAAAAGTAGACAGCCATATGGCAGGCAGCAAGTGAACATAGTCACTGCAATATATTGCAAATCCAAGTTAAAAAAACGTTAGGTGAAATGATGACGATGTGAATTTAATAGAAATGAAAAGAGAAGTAATGAAAGAAAGAAATATGGAGAAAACCTGTGAATTTATAAATAGTGAAAAGAAATGTGCTAGCAACAGCAACAAAATCTTAATCACATACACACAGAAAATTAATACATGCCAAAAGGCAGGCAGTCAGTATCAAGTAATACGGACTTGTATGCAACAGCAGCAGCACAACATGTCTCCCCCAACACCAACCAACCAAACTGCATTCAAGGTTTAGAGTATTTGCCGCAAATATTTCCGATACAGCTTAAAAATAAAACAAAGCCAACAAAATTTGCACACGAGCAACAGACGATCGACTACTCTATAGCAGGCAGCAGCAGCATAAACATCAACAACAACCTTTGGGCGGTCTCTGGGCACATTATAATATGACTCACACCCTGAATGAATTACTGAGTAATATTTTTTAGTTGTTTTTTTGTTGATAAGGCAATATTATTATTGTTATTATTATAAATCATTTCGATTTTAGTTGTTGTTGTCATGAATATATTTTACAAAAAATTAAATCTTGAATTCTTATGTCGTCTGATGAAAAGCTTGGTTCTAAAAAAGCCCAACAACATCATCGTCGTCATCATATCAATCACAAAAATAAGCCAGAGCGAGCATATGTGAGCTTAGTAACATCATAATAATATGAATGCCTTTGATTGCTTTTATTGTGGGTGTATGAACGAACCCAGCCAGCCGGCTCTTCAAGATAATTTTAGGTGATTCATTCACGTGTTGTAAATATATGTAAGCGTTGTTGTAATTATGCGGAAGAGTAAAATGAGTAAAAACAACATAAAGGGTTTATTGATTCATGTAGGAGGAACGTTCTTTTGAGACGAGTAGAATTATGGAATTACAAAGATAGAGGCACACAATGACCTTAACAGAAATCTCTAGAATTTTTGGAACAAATACCAAATATAGAGACAATAATGAAATTGGAAAAAAGGAAAACAAGAAATGGAACGG